TAGGGCTATATAAGTTCTGTATAACAATAACAACATATACTATATGTTGAACAAACTTGTGATGATCGCTGTAGCAAAATGGTGCATTCAGGTCTTTATAACTATACTGCTGGCTATGGCTGAAATGGGACATGAAAACGAGCTGGTATTTTAGCTGAATTGGTATTCTGCTGGATGACTTCAGATAATTTCCTCAAAGAAATGTGGTTTCTTTATCAGGGAGAACCTTCACTTCGATGATGAAACAGGGAGGAACCTTGCAGCCTGCTCTAGAAGATCAGAGATAAACACTAAAGACCTCCTGTAGATTGGACTCTTTGTATCCAGGCTATTATTTTTGCATTATCATCACTAAAGAAGCAAGTTGTGTCATGTTTCTTGTGAGCTGAAATATGAAATATCACGTATCACTGTATAGGCAATGGTGGACATTCTCATCTTTTTATTGTCAAAAGATAGTGTAGTGTTTTACCTAACTGATTCGAAGCTCCAGTCTTGTATGTTGGAGGACACAAAAATGCACATAGCTTCATCTTGTGTCTGTCAGTGTTTGTAACTACAGTGATAGCATAAAAACAAATCCCTGGTATTTCTTCAAGATCAGGAGTCTCCATTCATTAGCTAAATTACAAGACTATAGGTCATATATTTCTTTGAATTACAACTCTTCATTAAACAATATCTAGTGAACTGATTTGTCAGGTCCAAATCTGTAGCCTTTAAAATGATTCCTGCTAGAGACAAACTTATCCATATCCATTACTTTCAAAGGGTCTATTTTACATCAACACATCTATTCAGAAATGTCAGGAAACTGATGGGAAACGTTTACATGTAGCACCCTCCTAGTTTGGCTGCTAGTTAGGTTAGGAAAATGTTGTTTTTTAGCTCTTCTGTAAAGTGGAGCTGCTTGTGATTACTATGGTTTGCTCTGAGTTTCAAAGGCTGTGGGTTTGGGTGCTTCCCCATGTCATCTGGATGATTCTGGAAGGTAGTGGGCTGGTAGAGTAAAATCTACAGTATGAATATTTATGTTTTCCCAACCAATCAATGGGGGAGGGTGCCTAGATGGTGGCTGGGGGAGAGCATAAATAATTTGAGGCCTGGAGCAGAGGGGCTCTTATCCAGGAGGAAAAGATCACAACCTGAAGGGTTGCTGCTGTGCTTCTTTATTTACTCATTGAGGTCCCAGCTGTGCTAGTTGAGGGGCCTATTCTGCAAAACTTTGCTGGAGCTGACTGATGGATTTAATTTTGTGGATTTTGTCTGAAGAGTGCATGATAGAAATGTTTGCAGGACTACAAGTTCCATCATGCCCTCTGCAAGTCATGGCTGTAACTGTCAATTTTGTAATGTTGCAATGCCTCATGGGAAATGTAGTTTCACAACAGCTATAGAGCCGTAGGTTGCCTACCCCAGCCCTAGACTAATCATTGAGCCAGAAGAGTGTAAGACTGTGTGCTTGGCTGCTAGTGCACTTATTGGGGAAGGAACCTTGTGACCAAATCAACAGGCCCCTTCGGGGGTGAACGCTACATATGATCAGGAACTGTCCTATGGTTAGATTGGTCTCAGATTACAGCATTTAATGTGCAAAACTTAGAAATCCCCAATAACTGTAACCCAAAGTGGTGCCTATTAAAAGTATTTTGTAATAAGGATCTTGGAAGTGCCCAAATGTCCTTTCTGAGATGATAGGGTTACTGTCCAGTCTTTTTTTATTGTTTGCAAGATCAATTACAGATAGACAATATAAGCTCTTGAGTACAAGAGAATACAAGCAATACCTTGATAACAAAAAAAATCCTTGCAAAAAAAATTTGCTAAGGTCAAAGATATAAATCAAGGAAATAAGGAGAAAGATATTCCAAAAGGGGGGTTATTTGGGGGGACCCAAATGTATTACAGAAAAAAGGAATTGTGGTGGGGAAATTGGGAGGGCAAAGAAGGAAGGTAACTTAAGAGGGCAGGAGAGAAGTAGAAAATAGGGAGAAAAGTAAAAGTTGTAAACAAATCCACTTACCCCCTACAAGGACAGGAGGTCTTGGTCAAATCCCATGGGAAAAAAAAGTGAAATGTCTAGGTAAGCCAGTTGGAGAGAAAATTCTCTATTTTATACTTGAGTTTGGCTTCTAGTTTTTCATGTAGGATGACTGAATTCATCCTGTCTTTAGTTTCATTCAAAAGAGAGGGTGGCCATCATCTTCCAGGTCTTAGCAATCATTTGTTTTGGCACTGTAAGGCAATGTAATGTCAATTTAAAGCTTTAAAACCCAGAGGTTTAAGATTCAAAAAAGTATGTTTCACTAAAAAAAGAACGGAGGCATCTGATAGTTTGGAGATTATCTGGAAGACATCTATGCAAATTGGTGTGCTGCAGGACAGGCCCACCACACATGGAAAAAAAACAAAACGTGCCTGCCTGACTGAAGCGCTGGAAGCACAGAGTTGACAAACCAGGAACATAGCGAGAAATTCTATAGGGAACTATGTACCATCTAGTTAGGACCTTATAATTAGTTTCAATGGCTAGTTCATTGGTTGAGCAAGATTTGCTTGTCTCCCATATTTGAGACTAATCATATGTATCCAGCTCTACATATAAATCAGTTGACCATTTTTGGATATAGGTGGGGAGGTGTTGAGGAAGAGGAATGGAGTAGGCAGTAAATGAGTGAGATGACACCTGGCACATGGGAGATGTTATCGCAATTGAACTCAAATGAAGAAAGCATCCTAGGTACATCTGGATAACAAATATTAGAATGTAAGAAATGTTTGATTTGTAACTAATGAAAAAGTTCTCGGTGAGGTAACTTTACAACCCATTATAACTTGGGCCAGACTTTACCACTCCAGTGATCCACTACCCAGGAGGATACTTGTGCTGCTTGATAGTCTTTCTGGAGTTGTGTTAGACTGAGACCACCTGAGTTTTTTATTCTAGTAAGAGCTGATTTATTCAGACGAGGTTTGGGTTGTGCCATACAAAGATTACAATTTGGCATTGCAGGGAATGGAGCATTGAGGAGGGAACCATTACTGGTGAGGCTCTAAAGCAGTAAAATAATTTAAGAAAGTAAGTCATTTTGATGGCTGCCACTTTGCCAAGCCAGGATATAAGATATTTATCCTATTCTTACAAGAGAGATATGAATTTCTTCAGTAGAGGAAGGTAGTTAGTAGCATAAAAGTCATCATAGGAGGCAATCAAATGGACTCCTAAGTACTAGAGAGAAGATTGTTGCCTTTGGAAGTTACAGATTTTGTTTAATTTGGGAAAACATGTAAAATGATTAAATTCAGTACCTTAGACTTTTCTTCACTGACCTGGAGGCCTAAAACTTGTGTAAAGTTAAAGCGTAACAACACTGTGTTTGAGCATCTCAAACCAAAAGCATTATTTGATTGATGGCCATTTGGAGTAAGGGCAGATGATTCATGTAGCAATTATGTCCTGTAATCCATCTGTCCTTAGATCAGGCATGCAGGCAGGAAGGTGTGCTTAGCTGAGAAAACTCCTTCTCCCCTCCTGAAACTCCTGGGATGTGTGACATCATTTAAAGAAGGAGAAAAAGCGCCTCTAAGTGTAATAAGTAGTACATTTATTGAGCAACATAATAAGAACCACTCACACGGTAAGGAAAACAACAGGCTTAGGCTTGCGTGATGAACCAAGGGGTAAGGCAGCGTCCTCAATGTCTGCACCGTGGTCAGCGCTGGAGGACACTCGGGATGTGTCACTGAAAGCTGTCCGGCATGTGTGAAGGACAAAGGTGGTGTCCAGAGTCCACCCTAGGGGGCAGCATCGGCGTCAACATGATGTGGCGTGGAAATGTCCAGCATACAATGTGGCGCGTTTCGGAGCATGTGCGAGACCGGTGAAAGGCAAAGGCGCGCTCCCTTCTCAGGCATAATTCTTAATTCTTATTTATGTGTGACGCCATTTGCCTAGGCATGAGAACTAGGAAGTAACTAAAGAAATGTAAAAAATTATTTAATACAGGTAAATATGATTTACTTTCCTATCTATTTACTAATGGTAGCAGCATAAGGATTCAAAATAGTCAATGTTGAATGAGAGAGTGAAGTTCTAAGATTACGTTTATCTTGTGCTAGGAAGACTGTAGCATTATAACGCATTCACACAGGTGCTAAGACCTGGATACCATGAATGGGATGTTTTTTGCAGGGTGTCTAGACTCCAGGTGCTGCATGCAGGCAGCCCATAGAAGTCTATTAGATCCCGAATGCATACTGTCTGCACACTAGATTTTTACAGCATAATAGGATATAGATGCTGGAAATAACTGGTGAACACTGTTCTTCCTCTATATAGAATATAGAATATAGAACATATGAGCATAGCTGAGAACTTGTCAGAATTGAACCGGCAACACCAGAATTTAGCTTGTGCTGCACTCTTCTGGTAAATGCAAGTAAATATTTGCTACCAGGAGAAAAGGAGGGGGAGATGTGCCTGTGGATTGGGTGGGGGTGAGCTGCTCTTGGGGTAGAAACAGGGGCGGACTGACCATTTGGAAACTCGGGCACTGCCCGAGGGCCCGGGGTCAGTAGGGGGCCCCATGAGATGCCCCTGGTACCTTTTTCATAGGCTTTTTTGAGACTGGGCAAGGACACAGGGGCCCCATGATCCCCTATTGCCCGGGGGCCCCATGAGTTGTCAGTCCACCCCTGGGTAGAAACAATTGTCACCAGCAGGAGCGGGGACACAGGTAACTAAAAATGGTACCAGTCAGGTGTTTGTGTATGTATGTTGCATGTATTTTGTATACAGTGTGTATGTATGTGCATGCAGTGTGCATGTATACTGCATCTGCATGCATGTGTATGTATGCATGTGTATGTATGCATGTTGCATGGAGTTTGTATGTATGAACATACACTATATTACCAAAAGTATTGGACATCCCTCCAAATCATTGGATTCAGGTGTTCCAATCACCTCCATGGCCACAGGTATACAAAAAATCAAGCACCTAGGCATGCAGACTGCTTCTTCAAACATTTGTGAAAGAATGGGTCGCTCTCAGGAGCTCAGTGAATTCAAGCGTGGTACCGTGATAGGTTGCCACCTGTACAATAAGTCCATCCATGAAATTTCCTTGCTACCAAATATTCCACGGTCATCTGTTAGTGGTATTATAACAAAGTGAAAGCAACTGGGAACAACAGCAACACAGCCATGAAGTGTTAGGCCACATAAAATGACAGAGCGGGGTCAGCGCATGCTGAAGGGCACAGTGAGCAGAAGTCACCAACTGTCTGCAGAGTCAATAGCTAAAGACTTCCAAACTTTATGTGACCTTCAGATTAGACAACAGTGTGTAGAGAGCTTCATGGAATGGGTTTCCATGGTCGAGCAGATGCATCCAAGCCTTATATCACCAAGTGCAATGCAAAGTGTCGGATGCAGTGAGGTAAAGCAGCCTTTTTTAACCAGGGTGCCCAGGCAGCCTGGGGTGCCTTCAGGTCTCTTCAAAATGCCTAAAAACTGCCCCAAAAAATTGTATACAAGCCAGCAGGTGGATCAAGTCTGACTTTTAGTTACACAAAGGCATGGGTTTTCATTGTGCGCCATTAAAATGTTCTAGCCATCAGAGACACAACAACCAATGATGTCATCAGTTGATAAGAAGGACATTTGGCAGCAGCACAGCATCCTTGCTTGCCCCTCCTCTGCCCCTCTCCATCACCACTGGGGTCACATTAGTTGAGTGAGAGAGAGATAAACTGAGGGAGAAGAGAAACAATGGAATACTAATCAGTACCAGTGTGCAAAAGTGTACAGTATTTGCTTTCGAAGAATAAATCACCTCTAATGTTGGGTGTCCCACATGTGCAGAAGTTTGTGTTTTGTAAAACTATTAGTTTAGTTTTTTACATTTTGTGTAATGGGTGCCTCAAGACTGTGCAGAATATTAAAGAGTGCCTTGAGATTGTGCAGACGGTGCCTTGACTGCAAAAAGGTTGAGAAATACTGGAGCAGTGGAGACATGCTCGAGCAGCCCCTAAAACCGTAAACCACCCATCACCACCTGGAAGAAGGGTCATATGTGGCACGGGGACCAGGTGGGATCCGAGAGAGGCTGCGGCTGCTTGATGGTGTATGCAAAGCCCAACTCTCGTTCCCGGGGATGTCCAGAGCTGTTGAGATTTAGCGTCTTTCTTTCTGTCGCCATGTGTGTTTGTGGGAGGGTATTAGTGGAAGGCTCTCTCGGGGTAGGGGGTGGAGCAGGGGTGTTGTCGATTACTGTCAGGCTCTCTCCGTGGGGGAAGGGGTGTCTGGTGTTGGTCGGTGCCAGGCTCTCTTTCTGCCGGGAAGGTGGGGGCGTATGATTTTTTTTCACCACTGGTTTGAATGCAAAGAGCTGTCACGCTTACAGGTCATAAGAAGACAATATAATACCCACATAACAATGAAAAGAAAAAAAACTGAACCAGCCTAATTACTGTGGGTCAGAGCACTACTAACCAAGTCATCCACAAATTCCTTATAACCTGTATAGGAGGACTAACCCTGGGGAAGGTTATCCATTATCAACTGATGTGGCGCAAGGCCTGGCACATCCAACCAAGGCTGCCCCAGGGGAATACCATTTTTTGTGGACATTTCTATGCTGATATAATATTGTCTTAGTGTAGCACTGTCTTGTATAATTAAAAGTATCCAAAAATTAACATAAACACCAAATCAAAAGCACCAATTCCTACAATGAAACACACATTTAACAATGTGTATAGTGAGACTGAAAATAAAGTGCTACTGATAACAGGCCACAAGATGGTGCCAAACCAAGCAATATGTTAGCACCTTGTTCAGGTCTTATCAGAGCAACAGCCGGTAATTCATATGGAAAATACGTTTATTAAACCAATGTTAAAAGTACCATAAAAAGCCAAATAGTGTGCCAAATCATATAATAGTAACTCAGTATAGCTTGTGAACCATGCTGGTGGCAGAGATCAAGTGCAGGCTTACATAAAATAATCAAAAATATTCCTCACATAAAAAATGGCTTTGGCTCAACATCTCAAACCCACAACAGTTGAAATATCAAGAAGAAAAGAGATATATCGATACAGCAGCTGCATTTTTTAGTGGCCACCTTTTTCTCATATATATCTCTTTACTCTCTGTCTGTCCCCCTTCTCTGAGAGCTCTCAGATCAATTAATAGAATATGATAATTAATGAAATATATTATATATAAATGATACTTGATCCACTAGATCCAGGGTCACGACCTCTGACCCATAACAGTCTTTTATATTGGGTTTATTAAACTGTGTTTTATGTGTTATTTTAAGCAATAAAAGTTCATTATTGCAATCAATGACCTCTGTCAATATTCGAATCACAATAGGTTTTTTTTTTCTTCATGATACTCAATTGTTTTGGATTTGAGATGTTGAGCCAAAGCCATTTTTTTATGTGAGAAATATTTTTGAAATTGGATTTTGTGGTGGGCTCTCCTCCCCTCATTTACATACTGTATTCACAAGATACAAGCCTGGTAGGATAATTTTTTCTTTTTAATGTTTGTATTACATGAAATAATCCTGGTCACTGAAAAAAAACAAGGCAGTACCCTGGAGAAATAAAGGTCACCTTCAAAGGACTGCGCTATGTTGGTAAATGTCCTCGGCCAACAGGAGATGGCGTGTGACAACAATAGACCAGGATCACATCACAGGACCAGCTCACTGGAAGTGACCTATAGGCGCACCAGAAGTGACCTTGGGTGGACCGCAGCAGACCCAGAACAGGAGCCACAGGCCTATGATGAAGCACTCAATGTGCAAAATGCATCATCATGGAAACCAGTATTTGTTTTGGAAGCTCTGTGTACCATTCTTCGCTTCTCTGAAGACTTGTGGTTCCTGTTTGAAGGTGACCTTTACATCTCCAGGCCTTGCCATATGCATCTCCAGGCCTTGCCATAAAGTGGAAGAACATCAAGCCAGACTGACCATATTTTGTCAACTTATAAGTGGAAGAACTGCATTCACTGCAGATTTCTAGCTATATACTGTGGTGGGCAGCAGATTGCTTCCATCTTAGCAGTAATTCCCTATGTGTTTATAATAAAGTGCAAGATCATATTAAAACAAAAACAGTTTCAAAACGAACTAAGTGTGTGCCAGTAACGCTACATGTTCCATAACTGCCAATGACATCAATAGTAGGGCCCATGTGAAGGGATTACGTGGACCAGTCACCTATGATCGTTCAGAGCATCAACCACCGACTTCCAGTATGAGTGAATAGGTGGCCAAAGCCAATCACACCATATGGAAGAAGGTACCCAGAGAGGAGTGGCATCTTGTTGACACAGAGGACTAACCGTTGGGTAAATGGCTGCCTCTCCCTAACTCTGCGGGCTGTAATAAACCCTATGCAAAAACTTTATTTGAATAAATTTATCACATAGCAGAGATCATATTAATAACATAGGAACCTATACAATCCTCCCAGTCTTCGTCAGGTTTTGTCAAACAGTGTAAATATTCACAAGAGCAGGGAGGATATAGACAGTTCAGTTTGTCAAACGTTCTGGTGGAACTGGAAGTGTGTGCCACTGATAACCGAAGATGCTGCAAGGAAAGACAGTGGTTTTCCCATTACCCTCGATGTCAGCAGACGTTCCACTGTATCTGGTTTCAATAGAATTGGTTCTGGAAATTGGGCCATGACAGTGTGTGCTCTCAGTAGAATTCCAGGTAGCTGAAATACAAGTAATATAGGAATACCAGTAAAGAAAATTTCTCAAGAGAGCGATTCAGGACTGCAAAGGAGGAAGAAGTGGTTCAAAATATCCAGATCGTTGTGCATCTGATGAACTACAGGAAACGTTTGGTTGATGCTGCCAAAGGAGGGTCAACCAGATTAAGCGGTTCACATACCCCTCCCTGCACTGTGAGTTTATGCCCAAACCAGACTGGGTGTTAGATGAAATGCCCAATTCATGCAAAACTGTTTTTTTTTTTCTTGCAACTGTACATATAAAAAAATTTCTCACGTAGGACTAAAGGAGGAGAATATGCCATCTGTGATAACATTTTAAACCCAAACCTGGGGTTGAAATTGTATTTTTTTTTTAAAAAAATATATTTTTTTTAAATTCTTCAGATTTTTTTAACATTTGAAAAAATCACTTTAACATATATTTTTACATATATTTGTAAATGCATTCCAATAATGTAGATTAAATTTATTTTTAAAGACATACAGAATATTTGCAAATGTACTTTTAAAAATATTTTTCATATATTTTGTAATATATAAAAAACGCATTTCAACATACAGTGTATATATATATACATATATATATATATATATATATATATATATATATAATATATACGGCCAAAAGTATTGTATTTGTAAGTATAGTATTGTAGTATTTCAAATATATGTCAAATATTTGGGAAGAATATTTTTCAAATATATTTACAATACATTTTTCTTATATGTGGGTAGCATCTTCCATATAAACCTCTCTGGCCTGCACCCAAACTCTGAATGTGGTACACATCAATTCCGTAACAAAGGAGCTGGCCCTGGGTCCACAATAGACCAAGTTACTCACTGCAGCATAGCACCCCAGTTGGGTTGTGTATAGGCTGACTGAGCCACCAATGAACCATATGAAATACAGCCGCCCAGTAGTAAACTAAAAAATTTGGCAGACCCCCTTGAGAGAGAGGCAGATGGAGCATCTTCCATGCCAATCTAGGAGTCTTCACAGCCCATACAAAGGAGATCACCTTGCTGTCCAACTTAACAAAGGAAGCCCTACGTATGGGCATTGGAGTGTTTCTAAAAAAAAAAATAGAGGAATTTTGGTACATAGACCATTTTCAACAAATTTACACTGCCCACTGGCGTAAAAGGTAAAGTACGCCAGGAATCACATTTGCAGGTAAATTGGGAAAGCAAAGGAGTAATATTGTCTTCTAAGTAGGCCTCCAGTCTACACCGAACCTTCATGTCCAGGTATATAAACTCTTTCACACACTGTAGAGGCATATGTGCCAAACCTCCCGAGCCCGAGGGATGAAATAAAAAAAGAGGATCGATTTTTCCCAGTTGACACGGATGCCAAAATAGTGACCAAACAGATTTCTGATGTACAACGCAAAAGCGTAAGGAGGAGTCCATATCACGTAGGTAAAATAAGGTATCATCTGCATAGAGGGGAATCTTCTCATACAGTGGTCCAACCAGAATTCCCTTCACTCTGGGGTCCTGGTGGAGGAGGATCTCCAGAGATTCAATAGCCAGGGCAAAAAGGCCCAGGGAGAGTGGGCAACCTTGTCTCATCCCTTGATGTAGGGTAAGGGGGCAGGCAGCACCCCATTAACCCACACTCTAGCAACTGGGTTGAGGTACAGAAGTTTCAGCCATGCAATAAAATTAGGTACGAACCCAAAACACTCCAGCACCCTCCATAGGTAATTCCACTCTACTGAATCAAATGCTTTTTCAGCATCAAGAGAGGCCACCACCCCTGGAAAGTCTTCAGTTGTTAGGCAATATGCATGAACAGTCGCCTAATGTTAATGTAAGTGCCTCTGCCTAGCATAAACCCAGACTGGTCTGAATGCACCAAGGCTGTTATAGCTAGATTCAAGCGGCAAGCCAGAATCTTTGTAAGCAGCTTAGAGTCCACGTTCAGCAATGAAATTGGGACGGTAAGATGCAAAGCGTTCTTTGTTCTTACCTGGCGTAGGCACCACTACTATTATTCCCTCTGACATCGTAAGAGGAAGGAACCCAGTCCATAGTGGGTTCACAAGCATAGTATGAAGACAGGGTGCTAGCTCATCCACATATGTTTTATAGAATTCAACGGGAAAACAATCTGGGCTAGGGGTTTTCCCAGTTTGGACGGAGGAAATAGACAACTGGACTTCCTTCAATGTAATGGGGGAGTCTAAATGATCCTTGTAAGTGGAAGTCAATACCAAGAAGTCTATCTCTGAGAGGTAAGAACTAAGTTCATCAGGAGCGTACGCAACCTTTGAAGCATACAGGCCTTCATTATAGGAAGCAAA